ACTTAGGACCTGCAGTGCAATAATCTCACAGCCTCTTCTTCATTAATTGTGTGAATCTGTGATTCCTCCACCTCTCTTGCTGTTTCTTGATCATTACCCCGCCAGTCATCAGATGACCAGTCATCAGAGGAGCAACTCTGATATGAGGGCGCATGTGCTTATTCCTCTACCAAGATGGCTGACTTCTTAAAGAAATACAGCCCAGAAAAAGGCCTGGTAAATCAGTAACAGGGAATAGATCAAGTGCAGGGATCCTACAGGCACTACTTATGACTTTACCCTCTGATTGGCCTTTTTGCTCATCTTTAAAAGTTTGTTTTACAAGACAAGCATTGAGTTGTGTGTACATATTTTGCTCTAGTTTTTAGCCCTGAATTTATATTCAACCGCTTTTAGATCAATCCCAGTTTTTATTTATTTTAAGGACCTTGTAAATATTTCATGTTGTCCTATCTCTCAGCAAAAATGTGAAAATTATTGGAAATATTTTTGTACATGATACTTTTAGAATTGGTCAGTAAAATAGTTTTCTTGTGTACTGACTTCAGCTATTTGACAACTGCCCCATAGCAAGCTGCATCATTTCTAATTAAATAATGCAGTGCCGGAGTTTTGCTTCAGAGGCTCAGATACATAAGCGGCCTGATTTTACACTGGTTGAAAGTGTGCCTGAACAGATGTGCTACAGTAACTTCATCAGCACAAATATAGTATGACAGTAAAAAGTGCAAAACTCCCAGCCTAATCAATAATTTAACCTGACACATTCTAGTTGCTGAGAAACTTAAAAAATATAGACTAACAAGTAACAATTATTTCTGAACACAGAGTTACCTCAAGAAATATACATATGAAAACTAGTTTAGATGATAGATATTAATTATTCAAGAAGATACTAATGGTTGCAGTATAATATTGCATTTTTTTAAATATTCATGACAATTTGAAGAACAGTGATATCTTAAGGTAAGGAAATCAGAACATTGATCTTGTATGTGGTAGGTCCCATAACAAGGCTAGTCATTAACATGCATGCTGTGTCTCCAGGACAGTGAAAGCGAGGACATAAAGTATATGCACATATATTTGTGTATAGGTGCTTACAGGCGCTAAGTGGTGACCATGATTTGGGCGCTGAATGATTCTTCATATGAACGATTGATGTAGAAATGCTTAACGAAAGTGTGAGCAGTACAGTGGCATAGTGGTTAGCACTTCTGCCATGTAGCACTGGGGGTCCCTGGTTCAAATCCCAGCCAGGTCACTATCTACAAGGGGTTTGCATGTTCTCCCTGTGCTTGTGTGGGTTTCCTCTGGGTACTCTGGTTTCCTTCCACACTCCAAAGACATGCTGGTAGGTTAATTGGCTCCTGTCTAAATTGGCACTCCTATGTATACATGTGAGATAGAGACCTTAGATTGTAAGCTCCTTGAGGGCAGGGACTAATGTGAATGTGCACTGTGTAAATTGTTGGCACTATATAAATACCAATATTAAATGTAAAAAATGTAGAGACCTCTATGCCCGGCCTGTATAAGCAGATATAATCACTGAGAACAATCCTTATCAGATAGCTGAACTCACCAAAAGACAAAGTGCTTTATTCTGTGCAGAAGGTTACAGCAGACAACAGGATACAGCAGATGAATGAATAGACGGTATTTGAAGGTCAAGAATGATAATGTTTCCAGGCTAGCATGTGCATGTGGTCCTGTTACAAGTAGCCATGACACTAAAACGACTAGTGGAGAAGAAGGGTGGTACATTACACACAAGGGGAAATACATCATAGCTGGGAGGAAACATTTGCAACAATCAGAATGACCACAAGATGGCAGCACATGAATCCACTATAATACTGGTCACAATATATGACTTAAAGGAGAACTATGGGGTTAGGGCTTTTCCCCATAGTTCTCCTAAGGGTAACGGAAGGACACAAACTAGTGTCCTCCCGTTACCCAAAGCTCAGTATACCGCCAGCTACAGCTCGCGGTATAATGAGACGCCGCAGCCGGCACGGATCCTGACAATTATGTCTGGATCTGCCCAGCTGGGTGAGTGACACCTGGCTCTGCCTATCTAGAGGCAGAGCCAGCTGTACCCACCCCCTCCCCCGTCATTTCTGCCAGTCATCGCTGGAGGATCGGACTGGGGAGGGGGGAATCCTGTCATGGCTCTCTGCTGGCACAGGATCGAGAAGTGAGTGAGCGCCGGTATGTGTTTGCTCACTTCCCGATTTACTGAGCCGACCTGTGACAGTCTCATTGTCACAGGTCGGCTTAGATTATGAGGCTGAGTGACAATCACTCACCTCATAATTCTCATTTAAGGAAAATAGCTATATAAATTCTCATTTCATATTAATGTGAATACTGACTGGATTGTCACGTTTTACACAACTATTGTGGCAGCACACTGGTTCATAGCAGCAGGAGGAAGAGGAGACTTGCTTCTGTCTCAGGGCCTGAAGTATTGACTTGTCACTGAAGCCTGTCTACTCCTATGCTGCAGTATTGGAATATTCCTCAGCATCCTCACATCTATACACTGTATATAGAACATGATAATTTATGGGACCTTAAACTGCTCCAGGGGAGGGGGAGAGAGGCTCTAAGGACTGGTCTAAGAGCAAGCACCTATACAAAAAATGAGCAGATAAACCTTGCAGTGCGGGGCAGTGCAGAGCTAAGATCAAAGTTTTACCCGTTCTTCTTTGAGTTGGTCCTCCCAAAAGTGATATTTTAGCCATGGGTAGGTTTACTTAAGGTGGCCATACACTCTACAACCATCGCAAGACTTTAGTCTTGCGATGGTTGTACAGGGATTAAAAAAACGTACGATCTGCCTATCTTGGACAGGCAGATCGCACTCTCGATCATCGCAAGCCCGCCCCCCTGAGGGGCGGGCTTCCGTTGACTGCAATGATGAACGGGCAGTGTGCGCGTGCGCACACCGGCCCGCTCGGCATTTGTCTTCCGAGCACCGTTCTAACCAGCCGAGAATCGTACGATTCCTGGCTGGTTTTCGAACATGCTGGTTCGACAGAAGACGTGCGACCGTACAGTAGAAACGGTCGCACGTCTCCGTTCACACTGCTCGATTATCGTATGAAAAACCGATCGCATACGATTATCGTACGATAATCGTGCAGTGTATGGGCACCTTTATTTTTCTAAAGCTGGCCATACACACCTGTAGATTATCTGCAGATTTTCTGTGGTCAGATGGAAAAAGTGCAACAGATTCCTCAATCTACGCTAAACTGTTTGGACGGAGGAATCTCCCACTGGGCCAACTGATTGGACGCAGGCATTGTTCAGGTATTTGGAGTGCCAGAGGGGCCGATTAGCAAGATACTAAAGCTTGGCCCAGTGGGAGATTCCTCCATCCACACCGTTTAGCGTAGATGGAGGAATCTGTTTCCATCTGACCATAGAAAAACATAATTCCTGAGAATGGGGGCTGATTGGTGGGTGGGGCTAATCACTACACATGCTGCGCCAAATGGCGGGTGTGGTCAAATTGCGCTTAAAGGTGAGTGAGGCTTGATGAATAGGTTTGGAGTCTACACACCACTCACTGTACACCATTCCAGTGATACCTGGCTCCCACTATAGGTATGGTGTATACGTGACAGCCAGGTGCACTGTGTCACTGGAATGGTGGATAGGTGAGCATTCCAGTGCACCTGGCTGTCATGTACCTATGGTGGGGGCCAGGTGCCACTGGATTGGTGTGTAGGTGACAGCCAGATGCACTGTTATTGTCACTGGGATGCTGTGTAGGTGACATCCAGATGCACTGTGTCACTGGAATGGTGGATAAGTGAGATGCAGATGCTCTATCGGTGAGCACACTGGACACTGGTGGATAGGATAGGCTACCATTCCAGTGACTCTTACAGTGCACCTGGCTGTCACCTACATGCCAATCCAGCATCAATGACACTTTACCTGGCTGACACCTACCTACCCCCACAATTTTGGTGACACTGCTAGTGTATCTGGCTGCCACCAGGTAAGTGACCCAATTCACCAAATATTTACGTAGAATTCCTCCCTGCTCTAGAAGACTGTGCCTACTAACCTACTCTCGGGTAAGTGGCAAGTCTGCCAGCAAGCTACCAGAAAGTCTTCAGAAACTTGTAACTTCTGGGAGTGCTGAATGCATGCACCCCCCATGTGCTCAACTGTTCCTCCCACGATCCCTATGTCACTAATGTGTTCTCTAGTGACATATGGGAATGGTGGAAACAACCACATCATGCAGCGGGGTAGCGGGGGGGGGGATCGGTTGTATTCATTTAGAACTCCTGGAAGGGTCAAACACAGAACTTTACCAGCTGCTTTAGTGACTGTAGACAACAGAGTGTAGATTGCTGCTTGCTGCAGTGGTAAGTATTCACTGCCTTGTACTGCAGGCAGGGACCAAGTCTTTACATTATTTTCATGGTCACAGAGTTGTTTTACATGGAGGGCCATTTCCAGTATACAGTAGCAAATAGTCATAAATCATAAATAAAATGGCATTCATTTAATATCAGCGCTTAGTTCTATGCACTATTATGAAATAAGACCAATAACAATAAGATGCAATGGAGATCTCCAGAGATATAAATTGAAATTCAACATGTCAGCAAACGAACATCATCTGTTGACCTTTAAAAGAAGCATCCAACAGCACAAAAGCACGTATAACAATATATAACAAATATGTATGGTACTTCACCGATGCAGAGATGCGCAGTTATTACATGTGGAGGAGCTATGTGGCCAGAGGATGGATCTCTGTTTGCTGATGTGTGTGTTCATCTAGCAGGACCAGGGCTGCACATTGCCCTTTATTATCATGTGCTAATGTCAATGTATTGTCTTGGTGTGTGATGGACTGTGACAGCAGCACTCACATCTGTACAGATTCCCAGGAATGCCACATAGTACAAGATGAGGAATCCCTCCCTCCCATCCCTGGAGCTTCCAGTCCAGCTGTGTCTGCTCAGAGCCGCCCTCAGCTCCACCTTATATACTCGCAGATCTAAAGCCCACATAAAGCAAAGTCTTCCCTAGTTCCAGCTCATCAGAGCCACCACCTGGGGGTGGGAGCCAGGCAACCCCAAATCTCAGCACCCGTGGTGGAAAGGATCCCTGCCTACTAAGGTATGAGTGACACCCTCTCCTGCTCTCAGTCTCACTCAACTTCTCAATCCAAAAACTTTCCAATATTACACTCTGAGAAGTATAGTAAACAGGGAGACTTTTTTAGTTGGCAAAGGGTATAGAACCTAACTGCTTTGATAACCTGAATATTGTAGAAATAAGCACTGCATTTCTTTGTCATCACTGACAATAGACAGAAAACTTTTTCCTAGCTGACACAGGGGTATGGAACCCGACTGCTCTGACGTTAATATTGTATGGATACACACTGCATATTATTGTCATCACTGGCAAAAGACAGGATATCTTTTCTTTCGTTGGCACAGGGTATGGGAACCAACTGCCCTGATAACATGAATATTATAGACAAAGGCACTGCATTTTATTGTCATCACTGGCAATAGACAGGGCATTTTTCCTTAGTTGGCATAGGATATGGAACCCAACTGCCCTGATAACATGAATATTGTATAGCTAAGCTCTGCATTTCATTGTCCTCACTGGCAGTGGACATGGAATCTTTTCCTTAGGTGGCATAGGGTATGAAACTCAACTACTCTGATAACTAGAATATTGTGTAGAGATAGGCACTGTATTTCATTGTCATCACTGGCAGTAGAATGGGAAACTTCTCCTTGGTTGGCACAGGGCATGAAACTCAACTGACCTGATAAGGAGAATATTGTAGAGATAGGCACTGTATTTTATTGTCATCAATGGCAGTAGAATGGGAAACTTCGCCTTGGTTGGCACAGGGTATGGAACTCAACTGACCTGATAACCAGAATATTGTAGAGATAGACACTGCATTTCATTGTCATCACTGGCAGTAGAATAGGAAACCTTTCCTTAGTTGGCACAGGGTATGAAACCCATCTGCACTGAGAACGTAAAGTCAGATAGGCACTCTATTTTATTGTCATTACTAGCAATAGGGACATAGGCTTCTGTATGCAAGTGCTAGTGCTACTTTCCAACAGGACCTGCAGCAGCTGAGTTTATTGCATGTACAATGTAGAATAGTGTCAGTGTGATTAGATTGATGACTGCCTCCTGTACACACAGGTAGTTTTATTTACTTACATTACACTGAAAGTCATAAGACATTTTGCAGACCATTGGAAAGAATGTAGGAATGATTTCCTAAAGGAGTGATTTCAGTGCCAGCTTAGAAGATCTGTGATAGCTTTAAATGCTCAATCAATCAGTTTAAAGCAAATGATAAAAAACAAAAAGGCACCAGCAGACTCTGTGTAAAATGTAATCCTTTAAAGAATGTTCTCTATAACAAGGATAACATAATGCAGTCTCAATTTTATATATATTATATTATATTAAGCTTTGGCGATATAGAACTACATGTCCCAGCTTTTCATATGTTTGAGGATTTGCGTTCCAAACCTCTGCTCCCCTCTGCCACGTTTCCCACATCAAAAGGAATATTTTGGCATCACTGCTGCATTGCTGTTCACCTTGGGTAACATGAGCTTTAACTGATCTATTTTCAAAGTTTAAACAAAAATAATAATCTTTTGTAAAGTAACATAACATATATACTAGCTACACGCCTAATTCAAACTTCAAGCTGGTTATCTGCAGCAACCTACTCCATGTATGGTGCCATGCAGATATCTCTTGGTACACTTGGACAGCGGTCAAGTTACTTCTATTACTGTGATTACACACATATATCTTATTGGGGCCAATTTATAAAAATTGCCGTAAATTAGACAAGCATATTGTTTTGTTGCCAATAACAACCAAAGTTTACCTTTAATTTTGGTTGTTATTGGCAACAAATTTATGTTTAATTTTGCTATGGGCAACAATTTTCTCATTCTAATTTTCTTTTTCTCTAGTTTTTGATTCAGCCCCGTTGTAAAATTAATTTCCATACTGTTTGAGTATGAATGTCTAACTGTACTTATGTACGACAACTTCTGAAGGTCTGACCAAATTTGAAGTAAGACGAACCAGGAATCTATATGGCCAGCTTAAGTAATAAGTTATTACTTATGTTAATCATATGCTTGGGCATGATAAATAATGGGCTGTTTAATGCATGGCTATGTGCATCAATGCATAAGAATGCGTGCGTTGCAACGCACATAGGCCCCAATAGTTCTTGTGAAAAGTTTTCTTCTATTTTGTTAGGATCAAGATTACTTTTTTCTGCACCTCATGTGTAGTAGATTTAATACAATATTATAGCAGCTGGAAAACTTTGAACAGTGATCCCCAGATGGCAGAATGTTCATCATTCTCACCTCATACAATACCGGGGTTATAAATGAAAGTCTAATGCATCTCCAGTTGCCATGTGGAAACTTTTTTTGCCATTTAAAAATAGATGGTTGCATGCTGGGTTTATGGAATAAAGGCATTTTAGATGGTTTTGGAAGCTGGAACAGTCTGAGCTCAACAAAATAAATGTCAGGATGTTATCAAAATACAGATTTGCACTTAAGCTGTGCTGCTGACAGAAATTGCAAAATCCTGCATATTGTATCAGGGTCAGGACTACAAAGAATCCTCTGTTGCAGGGATACATGCTTTTCTTTATCCATGAAACAGTGGGGATTTTGGCCAGGTGTTTCAGCAGAGAGTCTGGACCCCAGATGTAAATGGTACAAACTGGAAACAGAACACCCTCTGTATTGAATGGCTTACAATGTACAGCTGAGATTGTTTTTCGGAACCTTCAAAATGTACGTGAATTCCAGTTTTATAACGCTACCCAGAGGGGCTAGAGTTGGATAATTCACAAGGCAATGCATGGGGTCAGATACAGCCGCCATGCTCCTGCAGTAAACCAGGGGAATAAGGCAATTGGTCAAAGCTGTGCACCAGCCTGTTAATTAACAAGGGATGCACTTGTAGGCAGTTGATGTCTGGCCATGCTAATATAGACAATGTAGATGGTATGGCTTCTCTGTTCCTACTGCAATCCTTAGCATAGTCAGTGGAAGGGTTTTGTGCACCCTTTCTATTGAGAACATCATTAAAATGACTTCAAATTGAACCTGCTCTGTGCTCATGCAGGACAAAGAAACAAAGCAGCGTGGGTGTGAAGGAAAAGTAAGTATATGCTGGGGAAGGGGTGGGAGATTACAAAAAACCTGATGTTTATGCCTAAATGTCCTGTCCTTGCCAGTGCACCATGCCCTTGGTAAAAGCATTTTGGGGCTTGTGTGGTATTTTGGAGGTATTTAAGTATTCCAGAAGTAAACAGTTTTGCCAGACATTAATAGGATGTTAATGTGAAAGCTTGGCTTTAGTGCTTCCTACCTGCAGTCATTACCCTGTTGGAAGACCAATGAACTGCGGCAGAGCCTTCTGACACTGGGAAGTACATTTCGCTACAGAATTTCTTGATAGTCTTCAGTCATTGTATGTTGGACAGTTTCAGGGCACCCTATGCAAGATGCAGCAAAGCAGCCCCAAAACATAATTAATCTTCCTGTTGGTAATCCCGATTGTGGCTCGGGGTTAATTTTCAGTACCAGAAGCGGTAACCCTGAGCCACACTCGGGATTACACTGTGCGTCACTTACCTTGTCCCTACGAGCCCCGCTGTGTCCTCCGGCCGATGCCGGCATCCGTCTTCCAGGTTCCTTCCCTTGCGAGCGCCCGCGTCGCAGGGGGGCGGAACCGGCGGGAAATTCAAAAGTAAAAAATAGAAAAAAAGGAGAACAAATACTGAGATAATAAGACTGCCAGGGAGGTTAAGCCTCCTCCATGTTTCACAGTTGGTACAGTGTTTTTTTCTTTGAAAGCTGCATTTTTTAAATCTGTAAACATAGAACTGATGTGACTTTTGTCTCATCTGTTCAGAGGACATTCTCCCAGAAGCATTGGGGTTTGTCAGTATGCATTTTAACAGTTTACATACTGGCATTTTTATGCTATTCTTTCAACAGTGGAATGATCCATGGTCTTCATCCTTTGAGGCAACTGTTGCTCAAAAAGCGATGGATGGTGCAATCAGACACTGATGCACCTTGACCTTGGAATTCAGCTTGTATGTCTTTGCAGGTTTTCCTTGGCTCCCCTATTTGCATTATCTTTCTGTTCAGTCTGGGGTTTTTCTTTTGAGGCCGCACCCAGGAAGGTTGGCTAAACTCCCATGAACCTTAAACTTCTTAAAAATAATTGCAACTGTAGTCACAGGAACATCAAGCAACTGGGAGATGGTCCTATATCCTTTAGCTTTGACATGCTATAATTTTCTTCCTGATCTCCTTAGACAGCTCTTTCCTTTGCTTTCACATGGCCTATGTTCAGTATGGTGCAAATAATGATACCAAACAGCATAGTGACTACTTTTTTGCAACTTAATTTGGCTGACTGACTGATCACAAGACTTGTATGATACTAATGACAGAAAACAGGTTCATTTTTAATTTGATCCAATTATTTATAATCTTTCTTTAGACAACAACTGATTCGTCTAGGCTATTTTAGAATACCTTTGTAGAATAAGTAATTATTTACTTATTTCTTTTTTACACTTTCTTTGCTTTACTATGACATAAAAAAGGCATGCAGGTACACGAGACAATTGATTTTCATTTCTTCACTTTTCAGGAAGAACAAAGCATTTTTTTTAATGAGTTGTAAGGGTACCAACATATTTGGCCACAATTGTATGCCTCAGGTTCAAAAAACATTATTACAACAGTGCAGTTGTACTTATAAAGGTTCCATATTTCCCTAATTTTACTATAGTTTTTCTGATCCTGACACTATCAATGGAATGTTAGGGGCAGTTGCTGCCTGCCAACGGCTTCACCTCACACCGTGCACACTCAGAAGATGGCAGACAAAGCTGAAGCAGTTGACAGATCATATACTATACTGTCAGACTTCAGGTGACCCTTGACCCTCTGATACAGCAGTTCCAATATTTTTGTCCTAACAGGTTCCCTTTAGGAATGGCAGTGATCTTATAAGTCAGGGCTCAAAAGTTCCACTCGCCAGCTCGCATTTGGCGAGTGGAA